AATGTAAAGATAAATTTACAATAAAAATAATAGTCCTTATAATAAAAAATAAATTAATTGGCGCGATCTATTCACAATCTGTTAATTCTATAATTAGTACGTGATTTACATCGCCCGTTATTTGCATTGCTATATCGTGAAATATAGTTATACAGCATGAAAGATATATTTTCAAATTTAATAAATTTCTCCAATCATTTTTAAAACATGCTTTCTTTCTATACATACATTTCTTATACAATGATTACAAAAAATATTTGCACACTTTTATTTTCCAACGAAGTATTTTTATAATTGTATGCGCTATTAAATAATATAAAATTCAATACATCTTGAATTAATTCGTAGCGATATGTGACTGTTATGTAAATAAATATCTTTTACATATTCTTTTGCATGTTACTATCTAAATTCTCATATTCTTAAATAATCAATCTACCTCGCTATTAAAATTTCATCCGTGTATTTTACAAATAGGACGATCTATGTAAGTCGTCATATAAAATCGTCGTACGGAATACAATACATCGTCGACAAAGCAACTCTCTCTCCGCAAGGGATAGTAGGGAGAAGTCAGCTTGTAGGAGCGTCTTTATTTACAGATGAATCTCATCGTTCGACATAGCCAGGTGTGTGCTAAAGGTATACGGAAAGGTGTTGCAAAGGTGGGCTGATGCTAGAGAGCACTCGCATTGACGTTTACGCGCGGAGAAGCGCGAGCCGGTGTGCAAGGGAGTCGTGGAACAAACCGGGACGCAACAGTCGCTCACCAGACTTCGTACTGGAACTATCGCCGAAGCTATGGTTTCGCTCTTTCGTGACATTTCGTGATTCGAGCCTGGGATACCTGTTACAGACATCGTCCAGTAAAACGATATATCAGGGGATCAAAGCTATCGCGGTGAGTAATTCCATTCACGTTTTCTTTCATTACGATCGCGAATACTCGGTAGCCCGGGCAACAACCCTTCGATACGCCGATCGAAGTATCTCGGTACACGCGTACGGCGACCGTCGATTCTCTCGTTCCACTCGGATCTACGTGACCCCGTTTTCGTCTTGAATCACAGTCAATTGTTTTTAACGGATGACATCCTCCGTGGCGAATTTTTTGCCTAATCACTGTGGCCCACACGATGTACAATTTTTGAGCATATCCTTACGCAATCTCTTGTCCAATTGCGAACCTAGAACACGGTTTAATTAATAGAAGTGTAACGAGAAGTGATTTATTACGTGCCTCATTTCACACGCGTATTCACTTTTAACCATTTTAAAGATCAACTTCTATTAAACGAGAGAATTATTTTATTATCGATTCTAGTACAGTTTAGTGTGTTTAGTAATATATCGTAATTATAACTACAAAAAACATTATATGTATATAGTAATTATTGTATATATTATACTACATTATTTATATGCATAATGTTTCTCTTCCCAACACTATATACATATAATTCTTTTTTGTAGTTCTATTTACTTATATATGTATAAATTTTCATCATTTCAATGTAAAGAAGTCCTTTTCTTTTTGTTCAATGTAAAGAAGTCCTTTTATCTAATTATCTAAAACACATTAAAATGACAAATGTAACATTTTTACATAACAAACAAAATAGAATAATAGTGATTTACCTCCTCAACAATTAATTAATTATTTTATTTCCAATTGTGAATTTCTACAATCTATCAAAGAAGAACGGTACATTTTTTTTATTTTGAGTGTAAAATAACCTTAATCGTTCGCAATAATTATCCTGCCCCGTGTTTTAACACAATGGTTGTAATCCGTTAAAGCAGTCCTCTCCGAATCGATTCGCGATAATTCGATTGTATCGTTATACGATATTTCATTTCGCATTGGTGAGATCGTACAAGTGAGTTTGATTAGGTTATAAGACAATTTGTATTAGCGTCTCTCACATTATATTTGTGTTGTTTGTAATCGTTCTTCTCTATCAGAGATGCCTTCGCTCCCTTACATGCAAGTCGTAAAACGCCACGAATTGATAATGATTGTTATCGATCAAAATTCCCATAACGTTCAACATTGCACAAGATTGCTCAATAATTCAACTACGAATGTTTATCCAAAATTTTACGTCTATAGATATATCTCTTTGTCTATAACAAAAGAAATGGAATTTAAATCGCGAAATTTGTTTCATCTATTAAATGTTACAAGTAAGTATCCTACTTTGAATGTTTTATCCATAACCTATTAATTATGAGTAACGTTAATTCACACGTGTAAACGTGAGAAGTTACGATGATTCGGAATATATAGGTGATTTAATTAACATTTTTACATAGTTGGATGTTTAATAAGAGAAAACGAATCTTTTAATTCCCTTTTAATCTTTTAATTTTAACGAATAAAAATGAAGTGATGTTAAAATAATGTGTGTCAAAATGTCGATAAAAACGATCTTGCGAATACATTTGTTCAGCACATATTCTTTTTTAAGCCATGATGAAATCTCTTACTTATTTTCTTGAATAAGGTCATTAAACATAAGAAAGAGGAAAAATGTTAACATTTTTTGTCATCACTACTCATAGTGAAGTGTACACCTTTGTAAGATCCATATATCGACCGATACGTTTAGACTATATTTACGATTGTAGCGTGAAATATGCGACGTAAATGCTGACAGAATTGATGAAAACTCAATCCATTCTTTCTATAAATGATGTCGCGGTTGATATTTATTTGTTCTAATCGAATCTTTGTTCATAGTGTAAATATATTAGTAAGTGTTATTGTGTTGTGAATCACTTAGAACGTATCTTCAGGAAATTCAATAGAGTGCTGTCAGCAACATTACAATTGCACAGTGATAACGATCGATATTGTTTGAATCGCAGCAATTATCTTTAATTACAACGCTATTCATATGTATTTATCAAAATTCAAATGAAATAGCAGGCCGAGTAAAGGTAACAAATGACTCCTATACGTATAAAATTGGATTTCACTTGCTGCTGCTTTGTATACATATACATATGTATGTGCAGTGGTGAACAAGTGCATTAACCTAAACCAAATTATATGACGTAGTTTTGTTATTTTTTTATTTTTGTTTTATTTTAAGCCATGAAATCTCGAATCCAGGACCACGGTATATATACATTTCGTGAACAGGATAGACATCTACCATATTCTGGCAGAAGCGATCAAGTAAAAAAATATTTCTTCGATAGGGGGCGATATTCAATCGCGTTACCAACGGAACGGAACGAGGCGGAAGTTAAGGGTTTCGAAATGAAGTTTGGAAAACGAGCCGGCACTGGTCTCGCTTCTTTGTCCTTGTGAAATTACGTTCTAACCTTTGTGATTTCGTATCGATCGTGGGGAAAAGTACACGGTACCATTCGGTTGCAACGGATGAAAAGTCGCTTTGGGGATACGCTAGAGGACCATCAAGTTCCCTCGTCGCGGAAATTGTCAGAAGTATCAAGAACAGGAAACACGAGGCCGTCGCGACCGGCCGGAAATTAATTTAGAAAATGCGGTTATCGTAGAAAAGGAAAAGAAGAAAGGAAAAAAATTATTCTGTTCCCAGAGACCAACGCCGCGGCAGCCACGTTCAATGGTTATTAATTAAATCTGGCTCACGCTGTTGAACTTTTTGTCAATACTTTTCCCGTTAATTACAGGCCAGTTGTGTCGGCTGACTCTATTCTTATATTATTGTGCCGCAACACCGAGGCGGATATCATTGAAATTTGTGAGAGAACACCTCTGCGAGACATTCGAGTTTCATTACCAGGAGTTATAAAACTTATGGAAATTTTATACTCGAGAAAAGATATCGAGTTGAAGAAAGTAACTGTGTTATCGTTACGTACGAATCGAATTTACAGTGTCTGGAAAGCAG